ACCAGGAAAAGGTTGAATAAGCGCCGTTCAAGTCTACACACAACTAAACAGCAGGATAACAGCTGTATAGAAGCGTTAATGGATATGCAATAGAAGCTTGTCCCAACCGTTCCAACAGCCATAAGTAGCAGCTGACTAAGTTCGCCAGATTTGCTTGTATAGAGGTTGAATAAAGGTTTCTACATATCGTATAACATTTCAATACAGCTTGAGGCTGTATAAATGAAATGAGTACATTGCGAAAACCCACCAGTCTTGGCCACCAGGTTGTACGGGCTCTAGCTACGCTATTCTGCTTGAGTGCTCGATTTGGTTGCCTACTGGCGCGGTATGCCTGTAAGCCTTCGTGGTACTACGGACGGCATTGTAACCGTTTGGTCACAAATTCATAGGTTTTTGTCATTTATGTTATATATTCAGAACCTTCACGTTTCTTGTGCAAAAACAGTAGTATACCACAGAAGTGATAGGGTTCTGTACCGCTGTGAAAATGTTGTGCCGTTACGTTATGTCCACCATAGAGCTACAAACAACTATACAAACAAGAATGACGGGATGACGGGATGAAGGAAAATTGGGAGAAAGAACGGCCATTGCCCAAAATCGGCCTCTTTTAATATCAGGCGTCCGTGTACTAAGACGCAATTGTATTAGCTAAGTGCAGTGGTTGGTGTTTTAGAACGTGAACCAGGACCCCCCCCCCCCCCCCCTAGCAACAGCTAGTGTGGGCTAGGGAAATTTAACGTTCAGGACCTCTTTTTTATATTGGACCTTAAAAAGGTTATCCGTCAGCATACGGCCGGCTCGTAAACTTGGAAACAGGTTCCGAGCCCAATTGTCAAGGGCCAAGCATTATTATCTGGCCAAACGTAGGCCATAATCGTAAAGGAGTTTTACCTTCTCGGCTTGACCAAGGTGGCCTTGCCACGGTCGGCCGATCGTGCCAACGAAGGACGACGTCTGCCATCCCACCGTCCAGCAACGCCCGCTGGCCTTTCATCCGCTCGTTTCGCCAATCTGGCGAGAGTTCCGGCCGCACAGTAGGACAGGAGTCACTGTGTCAGCCATCCGGATTCACCATCAACGGCAGCAGCGGTATGTACCGGTATAGTAAACAACGCGATTAGGCTAAACGACACATATTACACGAAATTATGAACTCAGAACAACACGCACACAACACAGAAAGTGGCAAATAAACGCATTTAAAGAAAAGTGAAAGTTTTTCGTTTTTGTATCGCGAAACCCTCTGATTACCCGGTAGCTAGCCGACCCTGGGTGTTCCGGAGTTTGATCTTGTCGCCTGAGTCGACCGGGTGCTGTATGTTTGATCTCCGAGTAGGTAGTTGGTGAGTGCTGAGTTCTTAAAGCAGTTATAGCATCATACTTTTGACGTAGGACTACGTCTTTGTTTTCTATATGGGGGTACACTTTGCGAGTACGAAAAATGAACATGTAACGAAAAGTGGTCTAGTTTTGAACGCATATTTCTCCAAAGCTTTAATTTGAAACATGCCATGCAATATGCCATTCGACGGTGGTTTCATTCAGCAATTTTGTGGCATATAGTACAAATAATGAAAATAGATAAACAGCTAAGAAAATTAACTTATGCTACAAGGTGTCTTTCCTAACACAGCCATCATATAGTTGGTCCCAAACGAATCCTTTGGCACTTTCAACGTGTTCATATCAATTCAATCAACAAATATAAAAGCGTCAAAAGTTTCCAAAAACATTGACTTTGACCACTGTAACAAGCAAAAGAGTTCCATTTCTAAGTGGGCGATGGTTTACAAAGTTATACCTTTCGAATGTCGGGCTGGCCATTCAGGATGGAAAATTTATCGATTTCCCAGGGCATAGAGTTTCATTGTATGCATGGTATTTAAAGTTCTCAATTAAAAACTACAAGGGGCAGCCCAATGGGGTTGTACAAACATTTGACCTAGGACTACGCTCACAAATGTTAAGTTTTTTGATGGAACGTTATTTGAAATTCCCAATATTATTATGACATCCGTTGATTTCTTCCGAAGTTTTATTATTGTTCCAGTGTTCATTTTTCGTTTATTACTAATAAGATTCTTTTTCAGTTCATGTGCTCATGTTGTGTTAGAAAATATTCCAAACTAACTCTTTCTTTGAAAATTGTGGTGGCCCTGAAAAGGACGTTTCGATGGTTTGTGGCTCTGAGAAGAGCCGTTTTGATATTGTATGGCCCTTAGACTGATGCAAAATTTGAAATTTTCGCTCCACAGTGCTTAAACGGTTCCAAATTGGGTCCTGCTTAGCCTTCGAAAATTTTAACTACTTTAGTAAGAAACTGACTTGGCACAAACAATTTCATGTTTATATGGGAATTACTATGGGAAAACTTATGTTTTTGTTCATATCTATCTAACAATTCACCACATCACTATGCTTTTAAAAATTATAGCGAATTTTATAAGCTACAACTTTGTTTAACATCACTTTTCAAAAAGTTATTAATGATTCAAGTCACTAATATCTTATGATTATGTTCATTCAACTGTTCAGCAGGCAACATTGGTGTTTCTGGTGCGAAGAATAGAGCACAAATATCAGGGCTACTATGTCACACTGCAGAATACAGTGTTGCCCATAGAACAGCTGCTTGATCATGCCATAAGATTATCAATCTCTTAAACAATTAATAACAATTTAATTTGACATTTGGCTGAAAAACAATATTGTGCAAAGCAGTGATGGAAAAGTTCACGAAAACTCACTATGACTCGCGAACTTTTCCCTTGGTGAACTTCGTGAAATATCGCGAACTTTTCCAACACTGGTGCAAAGTTTTAGCTTATAAAATTTCCCGCAAGAATAGTTATACAATTTTTCGAAAAAGCAATATGAAAAATGGGTAGAAGACAATGAACTAAAAGTTTGGTTTTCCCATAGTAATTTCCAGATGAACTTCGAATAGTTTGTGCCAAGTCAGTTTCTTACCAATTGAGTTTAAATTTTGGGAGGCTAATCAGAACCTGATTTGAAACCGTTTGAGCACTGTGGAGCGAAAATTTCGAATTTTGCATCAGTCTACTGGTCAACCAATTGCTTGCAAATGCTTAAACGCCACCGTTCTTCGGTTCTTTGAAAATATTGAAGCAGTCGTTTGTTGCACCCTTTAGTATTCGATAAAAATGGCACATCGAAAATCTTCTATTACTTTTGTATCGTATGAGTAAAAAACCTTAAAATATGAGTAAATCTTATTCATAGTGTATTGTTTACATTAATCAACGGTTCGATTTACACGGAAGAGTGCCTTAAGAAGCATCTCTTGGCATTCATAAGGAAGCACAAAGGATCAACTCTGTTTTGACCTGATCTAACATCCTGCCCAGAGCTGGTAAATATCATGGCCGTCATGTGACAGTGAGAAAACAGATCCTCAAACTATCACAAGACGGAACTACCTATCATTAGCTTTCATGTCTTTTTCAAATGATCAAATACCCACGAGAATAATTCTTATGCGATTTCGACATCAACATTTATAACCAGGGTTGCTTCCACTCACTTGCTATAAAAAAATGTTTATCGTAATTATGAAACCATTAGATGTTATAATGATAATTTGTACTTGTAAGTTACAAGAAGAGGTTGAAAAGTATACATTTGACACATCAAACCTGTCAATTTCACTTTGAGAGCGTCACAATCAAGGATCTTATGACTCGTGAGCGTTCACTCAGAGTGAGCGCTGACGAATTGTAAAATCGCTGATCGCTCTGAAAGCGAATTTGATAGGTTTCATGTGTCAAACGTATACTTTTCAACCTCTTCTTGTAACATATAAGTACAAAATATCATTACAACATCTAATGATTTCATAATTCTGAAAAACATATTTGTATAGCAAATGAGTGAAAGCAACCCTGTTTATAACTGATTTAGATAAATTTAAGCAAGGCACCGTATGTTATCGGTAGAGTGAATATATTATTAAGATCTCCTCGGTACAAGTAGCATTTATAGAAATAAATGGGCTAGTAATTACGATGATCACAACACTGTCACGTTTCGGCATGACAAAAAAAAAATCGATGAGATTTTAAAGAAAATTTCTATTATTGGCTACGACGATAGTGACAGAAGTATCTATGTAAATATCGCGTGAGATCTTTCATTGAAAATGACATTAGCCAGCCAAGATCGTGCCACTACGCTCGAAACGTGTTGGAGTTGTACCGAGTCAACGGAGTCAATGTTGTGCCAACCTATATGAACCCACCAAATTCATCGGAACTTCACTCAACTGAAAAATTCATATCAAATATGAAGACGGAACTTCGCAAAACTTCCCAAAACTATTAAAACATAGCTGGAGTTGAAAAAAATTTGGGTAAAACCAACAAAAACACTGAGAAAATCGGTTGTACAAAATTCGATGGATGGAGTGAAAAGGAAGGTACGGGCATTCGGGATGGGAGACGAAATTGAATAAAACAAATTTTTTAAATCATAACTCATTAGTAGTTTTTCATCCTCTGAAATGTTCAAGGGATTTCCGATAATCGGTGTGTATGCCATTTTTATCGAATACAGCCTTTAAATACAGATACAAAATTTATCCGTTAGGCTAAGGTGAGCAAAAAGCTCACTTTTCTTAAAGTAATTCGGATCCAAATGAGTTCAATTTTTTGGAAAATGCTCAGAACCTTTTTGGAAATTCAGAATCGGCTGAACTGAAATGACTGAAAATGAGCTGAAACTGAAAATCCATATTTTAAAACACCATAAATTACACAGATACATGGTTCATTAGAGCTGGAATGACCCATATATTGTGTTATAAGCTTAGATCTTGAATGATAGCTTACATCCCAATCTACAAAATTCTGCCTGTGCCACTGAAAAGTCTCGAAAACTTGGAGGGCATTTTTTTTTCTCCGGGCATTCTTCTGAAACCCACCTTCTCATTCAACATTTTTTTTTTAAATTCCATTCCCATTCTCTTCTCGTTGCAGTCAATTACTGAACCAAACGGAAATCATCTATTCGGTGTTCGTCGGAGGCCAACCGGTGCTGGCCACCACGGCAGCCGAAGATATGAAACTTATGTCCCAAGAGGAGGTCGAACATGTGATGGAATCGTTGGTCTATTTGAAAGCAGACCGTACGTACCAATAGAACACATCTTTTCCAGGGGTTTTTTTTTTGATCGGTTGTCTGTCAATGGTTTCATCATTCTGGACTTTGACCGTTCCGGTGCCGAGTGACGAGCACAAGCCAACCGACACACAGAAGCAGATGGAAAATTTAAACCGATTGTTTGCTTATTTGCGTTTTGTTTTTCTGTCGTTTTTTGCTTGCTTGTTTGCAGCCTACCTCAAGGAACCACAGGCAACTCCATTGATACCATCCACCTACAACGGGAGCTCGAACGTGATTGCACTCATCGGACAGAATCCGACACTTTTTGTCGTATCGTGCGTGGCCACTGCCTTGTTCCTGGTGCTGTTGATTGGCATCTTCCTGGTCGCCCGGGGGAAGAGAAAACATATTACCGAACTAAAGAAGTGGGTATCGGTCTTTGTTTTGAGTTTTGACTTTTTTTTTCAAATCGTATGATTCGATTTTTTTTTTTCCAGATTGGAGTCAACTCAAGCACTGGTGATGCCAGGTAGTAGCGGTGGCGATGATCTGAATACTGTAAAATCTGAAAGTGGTAGTAGCCACCACTCACCGTATGCCCGGGATCCATCGACTGTCAGTGTCATTGGATCCGTTCCAGCGGAGAAATCTTCCCCTACTATCCACTTCCCACTGCCTCCGATGTCCCGACCGACGTCCTCGTCCAGTTACTCGTCCGACTCGTCAGTGTACTATCCGAAGCGTAAGTTGAAGCATCACACTCAAGAACTGCTGGATGAGCGAGCAGTTACTCTGACCAATAAGCTACAGAAGCAATTTGGGTCGCTAGCAGTTGCTGAAAACGTCTACGCTTCGGTTCAGAAGCCCAAGAAGGAGCATCCGCACAAGCGGCGTCGGAAATATATCGGTGAAAATCGGGTTGGTTCCTTCGAAGGAGCCATGCTGCACGCTCCGGGAAGTCCAATCACGACCACTACGACCAACAGTGCTAGTGGATCCAGTGAGCAGTCGTACGATACGCGACCTGCCAAGCTAACTCCACCATTCGAACACAACGAAACGTTCAACACGGATGTAATTATGAAACACTACCTGAAGAAGAAAACGGGACACTTCAATGCGGGCTTCACGATGGATCATGTCCCGATCGAGGCATTCAATAAGGGCAAGATCCGGTGCCTGGAGAAGTGTGGCCGGACTTCGGTGGATACGGGCAGCATCGGTTCGTATCTCAGCATGGCGTCGGTGAAGAGCTTTCCGAGGTAAGCTCATTAATCATTCAATACAATACATATCAATAAGATTTCTTTTTCTTTGGTAGATGTTTTGTTCCAGAACCGCTGAGCCGGGTCCTGGAACCGGTGACGATGACCCATCTGGATCAATCGGAGAGCTACGCCGATGGCGGTAAATCCACTGCTCCTGGAACGGCTTCCACTAGTCAATACAATACCGATACGGAGATCCAGCTTTCGCGAACCCAAAGTGATGGAGCAGATCCGGGTGTCGTCGGGCCCGTCGTTTGGCAGATGCACAAGAAGGAGATGGAAGGTTTGAATGTGAAAATTCATTGGAATTTCTCTCACTTGATACGCGTGTCTTCCTAGAAATGACCAGTCCCATACGGGATCCGGTGGTCACTCGAAGCCGCTTTGAAGGCCTGCTGGAGGGAGCGATCCAACTTTACTCGGACCCACCGGAGAAGGAGGAAGCCCACAAACACTCCATCACTCTGCCCGGAGTGATCAGGCCACCGGTGGAAAACCGTGGAAAATCAGCAGCTGCCGTTGTAAGGTAACCGTATCCCTAGCCTCAGACCCCCTCAACCTAACTCCTGGAATCATTTCACCGTTCAAGATCACCTCCTCCCCGCAGGGAACCGACTACGTCCCGCGCGTGCTCGGCCACCGTTCGGCCCGTCACGGCGGCAGGCCAGGCCCGTAGTAGGCTGGAGAGTTCTGGACCACCTTCACCGGGTCGAGGAGCTTGGGGAAGTGGCGCCCATTCCCCGCTGGTTAGACCCATGAGTGCTGGTCCGTTCCATACTCCCGCCACTCCGCAGATCGATATTACGCGCGTAATGGCCCCGAAGACGGTTCTCCAATCGACGGAGCTATCGACGGCTCCACTGCTGCAGAATATCATGCAGGAACTGAAACGATTCCGGAACGAGTGAATCCCAATCTTTCGTTTTCAAACCAGTAGAAGTAGTTTTCTTAGATTATTTCCAGGCCGAAAAGGGTTCATCAAACGTGACACACTGCCAATTTTGTGGTAGCTGGCATTTAACTGCATATTCCTATCGACGATTTATCCATGGTAGAGACGCGGGTTTTCGTGTACTAGTGCTGTAGAATAGTGTTCGCTGCAATCTGTTTTTTTTTCTCGCTAGATCAGTAAGGGAAATTTTAAGCTAAGAACTTTTCGTCTACATGAGTACATTGGTGAGTAAGGTAAGAATGTACATTTTTGGGAAGGTAATTTTTCGATCGAATAAATAAAATACAAATTTTCGATGAATTTTTATTCCCTGGTCCATGTTGTTCACAATCTTTGAATGTCGAGCGTGAAGGGGGGTTTTGGTTGATGTTGGATCAGGAAATTTTTCAATTCTTCGCCCATGTCGTATGAGGATAATAAAAGTCAATGGTTGGCGTTTCCCAGAGCTGTTGCTGCTGCAACTCTGGGTCTCGGACTCAATTGTGCTTATGTTGCGGTGTGGTCATTCGTCGATGTTTTCGGATAGTTGATGGAATTGGTGCTGGAATTTAATTCTACGTTTGTTTGAAATACGTTTAGTAGAACATTAGATGGGATATTTTCTAAATCTTGCAATAGCTTGTGATAGCTCTTCTTGCAGATCTAGCAGCCCATTTCAGAATATTTATTAGTATTTGTAAAAAGTCATTTGAAAATGACATATAATCAGATAGATCTCACCAAATTCCACTTCCAAAATACCACAGCTTTGTTCACTCGGGGTTAACTAAAAAATCTAAACAGACGACAACAGTAAAATAGGGATGATTGGAACTTTCAACCAAATGGTTAGAACGATTTAGGAAACTACGACTTTATATTCACGGACTGATAAATAAGCAGGAACACGGTTGAAATCAGGGTTATGATGACGTCGTTCTACATCAAAGCTATTCAAAACAAAGATATTTCATACACAGGATCCCTAATTCAAGACATGCAAACATAACTATAGTAAATTCGTAGCTAGAACGATGTGCAATGTGTTCAGTAGTGGGGCCACATTTTACTAGCTTGTGCCAATTTTTGAATTGAAACACTAGAATTTTTAAAACCGTACACTCTCAGTGGACGTTTCAGTGACACGTCCTTGAAATCAAGTATGGGGGACGCAATTTTAGAGTGATCTTTATTGTTTTGGGACCTTTATTTACCTCAGCGTCCCCACAAAATTCACAGGATGTCAGATTTGGCTTTCAATGGATTCTGATTCACCTTGATAAGTGATATGAGTCCTGATCATTGGCGTAGCTAGTGGGGGTTCCAGGAGGACCAGGCCTCCTCCAGAATTATTCAGGCCCCCTCCAGAATTTTTGGTGTTTTATTTGGCTCACCGGTATTTCGTCAAGCTTGTTAAATTCGATGCTATTATTTAACAGTGATTAATAAAATTGGATAACCAACAAAGTTTTTTTTTAAAGTCCTTTATGTTGATTACTTTTGTTATGTTCTGTTCTAGAAGAAACAATTTTGAGAAATTATATTATATCAAATTGATGGCAATAAGACGTCTTCAGGCTCTACAAGATGGCCATGAGCCCTGGTATTTTTCTTTAACTTGTGGGACTTCAAATAGAAGTTCAGGAAAGATCGTGGAAATTAAGTAAACTTGTTAGAAATTCTGGGAACTTCATGGACCTTCAGAAAAATTCGTAGAGAAAACTGCGTAGAAGTAGATTATTCATTTAAATTTGAGAAGCTTTCTAGAAGTTAAAGGAGCATTATTTTATTTTAGGGAAGCTCATAATTGTTCGGGAACCTCTACATAATTTAAATTTTCTTAAGCCTCATGGACTTGGAATGGTTGTGGAAATTACGTACAAATTCAAGAAATTTCATTCCTGTTCGCAGAAAATCAACGAAAAACGTAGAAGAAAACTTTGTAGAAGTTTTTCGAATTTCGTAGCATTTTGAGGAGCTGCGTAAAACTTCATATAAGTGAAAGGAATTTTGTAAAAGATCTAAAAACAGTTCAATAAACATCCAAGAACTTCAAGGATCTTCGCTTCAGTTTAGGTGTTGCAGTTTGTCAGAGATCTTACTCCAAAAAAAGCTCCATGAACTTCTCTGAGGTTTTGGGAGCTTCGCCTAATTTCAATGAACTTTCTAGGTGTTCAAGTATATTTGTAGATGTCTAAGGTGTCTTCCAGTAGTGCAAAGATGTTCAGAAATCATTGTGAATCAAGCGAGATGGAAAAAAATATGGAATTTAAAATAAATTCAGGGAACTTTGTAGAAGTCGAGGAAATTTTGTAAAACTTAAGTTTTGTAGATGGTCAGAACACGTTGCATAAGTTACAGGATAATCTTCCTAGACAGCAGGCAATATTTGAAAGATCTCCATATAGTCGAAGATATTAGTAAAGTTCACTGGATATATGGTAGGTTGTAGGTTGATCAGGAAGTATTCAAGTTTTTCAGCCAATGGAATCAGATGGAATCTTGATTTTATGGTCATATTTATACATTACCTATAGGGAAGACCCGTGCCTTGGTGATTTAGCTATATTGTCAAAAATTTGCAGCTGAATTCCGGGCAAAAATTTCTGCATAAAACTAATTTGTATAAATTTCTTTCTTTTCGATGAATTATATGCCTGGAATTCAGCTTCAGGGACACAATTATTAAAGTTTCGATTTCATTCCTTTCGATTAGAAATATAGTTAAATCTTGATTTTATATATAACTCCGAATGTTAGTTAGTCCGATGTATCGAATGAACAATTTTCCTGGATAAATGCTTTATTACGTTTTATTTTATCTTAAAATCTCAGAATCATGACATTCAAAATCCGGTATCTTAAAAACCGGAGGAATTTGAATTTTGACCTGCTTATTCACAATTTTTCCACAGAAATTTTAAATCTTAATTTTTTCTTACTTTCTCATCACAAAGAATTTTTCTCTCGATAAATGCTGTGAGTCTTAGAATCTAGGTTAGTTTACTAAGATCTTGAATTACAAATTTTGAAGACCAGGAGATTCAGAACTTGTCTAAGCAATCGAAAACATTTTTTAAATCCATTAAATTTATTTTGAACAAAATTTTATCGAAATTTTTTTATCGGACTCATTTATTTTGTGGAGTATTTTGAAACTTTTCAGTAGGTCAAATATACTGTAAGTGTTAAAATTCTTATTTGTTTTTAATTTTAATGTACTAGATTTTTTTATGAAATGACTGTCTAGGAAGGATCTTGCAATTTTAACTTAGTCTTATAATTATGACAATTGATCTACATTCGTTGACTTTTATTGACATTTGTATTCATAGAATCTATGCTTACAATCTGTATCAGAGATAACCTTTTTTAAGTTAAAAAATCTTGAAGACGTATGGGTTTGGGAGCCTAAAACTATTTTTATTTTAAAATTCGCAATGTTAAGAATTGTGCATCTGCAGCAGTTGCATGTACGTCATTGGAGGATTTGTTAGTTATTTCGACGCTTATGGACAATGTTTGACATTTCCCATTATTAATAGTTTCTTGTTGAAAATAAACAGCCGGAAGCATTGCTTTAAGCATTGAAATATTTCTGATCGATTGGTGATAAAATGACTGAATTGGTCCAGGGGAAGCTAAGCTATTAACGTTCAAAATCTTTCATAATTTTGTTACATGTTCCATTTTCTGTTTTAACAAAGTGTACCCCCACATAGAAATCACAGACGTAGGCCTACGTCAAAAAATTGTGCATATTGAACATTTTCCTACGTTCTTAATGTATTAAATTTACCTTGAAACAGCCAGAATTTTATAAAATTATAATATTCAAACTCCTTCAAGGTTCCTATGCCTGAGTTTTGACTGATTGTTAAACATTCAAAATCTTAAAAAAAGCTAGTAACAAAATTCATGAAATTTACCAACTCTGAGAATTTTCTTAAGTTTGAGATGCTTACATTTACAGACTGTGATTTCATTACAAAAACCATGAACAAACGATCATTGCTCATCGAGGTCCCAATCATTGTTATGGAATAAATATAATCAAATTTATTGTTTCACCATTAAAATACTAGCAAGCCTCAATGTCATATTATTGGTGACGGAAAAAAATGTACCCAAAAATAAGTTGCCTTGACGCAATTTGAGAGAGTTTTTATTTGAGCGTAGTTTTGCAAAATTAAAAAAAAAAGTGCAGCAGGCAGCTACGAATACTTGATCGTGGGTTAATTCCATTTAAAGTACGTAACGATAAAGACGACCGCCCATTAAAATAAAATAAAAATATATGTTGAAAACTACTTAATGATGGTAACTATTGGGACTTGAGAGGAACTGCTTAATGTAACGGCTTTCTCAGTTTTAATTTCTTCTGACGACTTCGATTAAACGGTGATCAAAATTGTGACCAAGTAGTTCCTTCCCCAAAATATCATTAATTGTAACCAACATATGTTAAATCGACCACAACAACGACTAAACGATTGACGATAATGACAGACAATATTTTCCCTTGAAAAACGCTACAAAACATGGTCGAATCGTCGGGCAGATTAAATTGTAGTTGTTAGAATTAATTAAGACTGAGAAGGCCATTACACCATACAAACTACACCATTGCAGACATTCACATATAAATGACCTCCTCGGAAGGCTGAACCATGCTTTTCAATAAGGTTTTTTACAATTCACCGGTCCGTTGCGACCAAGGTTCCCGAGAAATCATGTGACATAATGTATGCCACAATCCTGAATTGGACTTAATAGTATATACAATTAATTAAAAATGGTCAAAATCACATTCCACCCTGCGCTGCTAGCACTTTCATCACCACTCCTGATTATTCACTACAATTAGCAAAGTTACTACTAGCTCAAACACAGATTGTGAACGCAGCATATCTATTCTCATTAAAAACGCACCAAACTCACGTGAACAAAGCTTGGCTTCCACATCGACTGAACAATAGATCAAACGAAACCGAGGTCCTATCAGGTATCAAATTGGAATTCTAGAGTACTCCAGTGTAATGGGCACCCATAACGTATTCAAAAACTATGCAGTCAGGAAAGATTACAAAATTCGTCGGAACTAATCTATTGTTAATTTATTTCAGTATCAAAATTAAATAGATTAATTTAATGGAAATGTTACCTCGCCGCATGTAGCGTTTCCATTTCCTGGCCTTCTTTTTGACTACCCGAGAATCGAGAAGCAGCTGATGGGTAATCCCGAGAATTCCCGG